TTCCATTGCACAGAAAGTAGACTTTCTGTCAAGAGGGGGGAGAGGGACGTAGGTTTAAGGAAATAGCACAAGGGGAAAGGCTTAAACACACACCTTGCTCCCTCCCCCAGTACCACTGCTCTGATCAAAATCACAGTTCCCATCGTGGTATCAGTTTCATAATTTTTGGCCTGGCAATATATCATGAATCTCTCTCTCTCTCTCTCTCTCTCTCTGTGTGTGTGTGTGTGTGTGATATGCAAAAATCACAATGTGGGGGAAACCATGCAGCCAGCTAATGCCTCTACAAAGCTCCAATGTCCTGATTTCAGACATTGTGATATATATGTATTTGCAATGCTTAGGTGGAGATATATCACGATGTTGGAAACCAGATATCGCCCAGCCCTACTGTTCACCTCTACATAGTTCCATACTTATTTCAGACATCATGATATATTGCTATATTGCGGTGTTTAGGTGGTGATATATTGTGATGTTGAAAACCAGATATCGCCCAGCTCTAGTAAAGACCCATTTATCCAATTGGGAAAGCCTGCTGGAACAAAAAAAAAAAATGTCTTCGATTGCTTCTGGAATCCATGTAATACATTAAATCACCACACACCTGGCGGAGTTTTAATTCAAGATCTCTTCAAGTGAAGTATCTTTTTAAGTTTTCCTTCCCCTGACCTCTCCCTTTGACTTGTCTTACCAAATAAACATTTAAAAATATAGAACACGACAAGGGACTCCATCCTGGTGATATAGGATAACTAGGGACATCCAAGAGCCTAAGGCAAAGCCCTCGGCAACGCACAAATTCCAACAGAGATTGCCTTTGGACATGTTGGGCTGTCAATGTGAGGTTGATTATTTCTCTTTTGAAACTCCTTGCCTTGGTTGGTTTAGTTAGATTTCTTAAAGTGGAAGTCCTATATGCCCTGCCCCAAAGGTAGCCAAGATTCTTCCACTACATATTCTCACCGCAACAGAAATCCATGAGAATGTTGTTGCTTCAAACGTACGTAGTAGCATGTGTAATTGCTTTGTTTTCAGAGTTCATTTTCAGGGCAAAGGGTTTCTTTTTGCCCTTGTGGCAGGAATCTGTACATCAGCAGTAACTGCCGTATATCATTGACACTTAGGGTATCCTCACATTGTCGCTAACTCCACTCTCACTACTAGCTTTCAAAGCCGCATTCACATGTTGACAAGTCACTTGACAAATGTTGCTGCTAGGGGCATTTTTTTCTCCCACCTTCTTCTTCTTTGGCGATCACTCGTAGCCGAGTAAGATCGTCTTCCATAAACACGTTTGGGTTGGGTTTTCGGAAGACGCCTGTGTGTGAATTTATGTGTGTAGATCAGTGCATGCTGACCAATGCACAGTCTTCACAGTAGGGCTCTGTTCCAATGGCATGAAGTAGTCACAACAAACCGGTAGATTCCTATCTGCTGCAGCTTTCATCGCTGTTGTAACATACCGCTTGTTATCATCTGCCTGCTCTGCCGTTGAGGACTTCTTGGATCATTCTCCCAGCATGTTCAGTCTGACTAGGAAACTTAAGCCACATTCCTACTTCAGATAAGTGTGAACATTTGAGGCAGCTGTCATACATGCACAGATGTGAGAGCATGCGCAGATATAACAGCTTCGTGAATAGGAATAGAGGCAGGCGTTTTCTACTGCCCAAGCCCGAGTAAACTTGTGGGAACATGAGATGTTCTATTTTCCATCTCTGAAAAATAGACTTCTATGCCACATCAATATTAGTTTTTGAAACTATCCTCAGTTTCAAAAGCAGCTTGACGAGCATGACGAGGTGCTGCTGTTTGAGAAACACCGGTCCAAAGTCCCTTGGGCACATGAAACCTGTTGCACGGTTCTTCGCGACCTTGTTATCTTGAATGCAAGACCATCCATTTCAATTACTTCAACAGAACCTTTAAAGTTACTCTGAAAGGAGCCCATGGAATTCAAGACTGTGTTTTAACTACCAAATGTAAGCAGAAGTGATAGGAATCGGTGGTGCAGTGAGGAAATGGACTTAATGGTCTAACAAACATACTCTTTCAGGTGATAATGTGTATGCTTCACTTACTTTAAGTTGCCATATAGGAGCGCTCCTTAGCTGGGAATGTACATTGCTTCAAAATATAGTTAAGTGAGCTCTGCTGCATTTGAGAGCCTTTTTGCTCACTCTGCTGAGAGAGGTCCTGGATTCCTGCCCAAAAGTCCCATACCCTCCAACACTTCTCTGATGAAAATAGGGACATCCTAATTCATAATAACAACAACAATAATTTTATTATTTATACCCCTCTCATCTGACTGGGTTGCCCTAGCCAATCTGGGCGGCTTCCAACATATATAAAAACATAATTGAACATTAAACATAAAAAACTTTCCTATACAGGGCTGCCTGCCGATGTCTTCTAAAGGTTGTATAGTTTCATTGGCTTGGGGGTTGCATAAAAAAGTAAAGGGTCCCCTGACCATTAGGTCCAGTCGTGAGTGACTCTGGGGTTGCGGCGCTCATCTAGCTTTATTGGCCGAGGGAGCCGGCGTTTGTCCGCAGGCAGCTTCCGGGTCATGTGGCCAGCATGACTAAGCCGCTTCTGGCGAACCAGAGCAGCGCACAGAAACGCCGTTTACCTTCCTGCTGGAGCGGTACCTATTTATCTACTTGCACTTTGATGTGCTTTTGAACTGCTAGGTGGGCAGGAGCAGGGACCGAACAACGGGAGCTCACCCCGTACCTCCAACAATTCTCCTGCTTTTCTCTGAAGAAAAGTAGGACATTCCAGGAGTAAAATGGAAACTGGGATGGCTTCTGTAAATCTGGGACTGTCCCTGGAAAATAGGGACACTTGGAGGGTCTGAAGTCCTCCTTTGATGGCACTACTTAAGCTGATGCAAGAGATTTGGACTGGAATAACAGAAAGTATTATCACTTTGTCATAAGACCTGGCCTAACTTCTTGCCAACTAGCACCATCACATGCCTGATCATCTGTGCCTATGTATGCCTACCCAGAAGCAGTTGGGAATTACCTAGACAAAGAGGATGATGATAATATAATTCTGGCTCCCTAACATCATTGTTATATTGCACCCCATGCAAGATACAGAGGAGTTTTGTTGCTTAGCGACTAAGAGCACATGGGAAGTAGTTAATCAATATAGCTTTGACTATAACCCCTTCACAAACAAAAGTAAAAAAGTAATTTACTCTGAAATTCACTGAGTAGAATATCTCCCATTGTGTTCTGACCTTTTCTTTCTTCTCCCGCAAGCTGAACAAATATTTGTAACTGATAACTCAATGATTTATCACTGGACAACCAGCACCAAAGCACCTAGCTGATTATTATGTTAAGGAACATGAGACCTGTAAGAATCTATCCGGGATTAACAGATCTGTTTTGCATAGGAACCCACTAAAGAATTCATAGTTCTTACCACTTGTAATAAGATGTATTCCACTAAGAGGTCAGAGTATATAATGTTCTATGCTCTAGAATTAACAAGCCAGGCATGCACTTCACAGGAGGCTGGTAGGAACTCTTTGAGAGGCTCAAATGAAGAGAGGTTAAGAGGAAGAGGAAGTCCTCTATTGCGAAATCTGTGGCCAACAAAGCACCAATAATCAGGGTTATTAGTGAATGCCATCATCATACCATATTATTTTAATTATTAGCATGTCAGAAGACAGATCAAGGGACACGTTCTTGGCCTTTTCAAGACTACACAGCTGCCAAAAGCTTAAAATGAGACCAATATCTTTTTACACTTAAGTTATATTCTTTAGCCTGCATTAGCCTAAATTACCACAGACGCCCCCATGTATAAGACTATTTTGTGGGACTCCAAACTGAGAAAATGGGGGGAGACTGTATCCGTGTATAAGACGACCCACAATTTTGAACATAATTTTTTTTATTAAAAAAACACAACCTAGTGTTATACACGGAAAAGTACATTATGTTGCATTGTTGATATCGGTTTTGAATCCATTGATAATGCATTTATTGTGTTCCAAACAGCTACAGTGATTATGTGTGTGTAAACATTATAAACATATGCCTGTGTGTGCATATATAGATAAATAGATACATACAATGAATCGTTTTCTTAGCTGCTACATCTTCAAGGGCATTCATACACGACAATCATTGGCTCAAGCAATTAACTGACAATGGGCAGCGGCGGTGGGGGGGGGGGGTGGATAGCACATGCACATCCCTTGATCCCAGGCCAAGTTTGATTGCCAAAATGAACTTCATTCAGCTCATTCTTAAATTTATTTGTAGGGATAAAATGATGAATAGCTTTTCAAAGACAGGCAGAAAGAGATTGCCTATTGCAAGCACTTCCAGCACTAGCGCATACAATACATTGATGAGAGTGTGAAAATGCCAGTTAGCTCAGCCAAACTTTTGTCATCTCAATATGCTCCCGTCCCCCCCATGTTATATGTTTCCACTTCAAGTAAGAATCAACAATTCTGCAAGGAAAGCTAAGCAGAGTGGAATAGAAATTTGCTCTGCTAGTACAGGCTGAGTAGGAGCATGTGACACTTGGACACTGTCAGGCCAACATATTTTGGTGCCCAAGAATGCAAAATCCATGTGGGCAACCGCAACAACCCCCATGGCACAATGATGTACCGTATTTTTCGCTCCATAGGACGCACTTTTTCCCTCTTAAAAACTAAGGGGGAAAGTCTGTGCGTCCTATAGAACGAATGCAGGGGGGAGGCAGGCAGGAAAAGCCCCAAGAGCCGCACACAAACTTCACGCGGCTCTTGCGGGCTTTTCCCCAGGAGGGAGAAGGGACTGACATGGCCAGTCAGTCCCTTCCCCCTCCTTGTAGAAAAGCCCGCAGGAGCCGCACGCTCCTTAAAGGGTGCACAGCTCCTGTGGGCTTTTGTGGCAGGTGGAGGAATTGCCATAGCCACGCGCAGCCTCTCCAGCCGTGAGAGGCTGCGCAAGGCTAAAAAAGAAGCCAAGGCCGCGAGCGTGATCCATCCCGCTCACTGCCTCGGCTTCCTCTTTAGCCTTGCATAGCCCCTCCAGCCGGGGGAGGCTGCACAAGGCTAAAGAGGAAGCCAAGGCAGCAAGGGATGGATCACGCTCGCTGCCTTGGCTTCTTTAGCCTTGCGCAACCCTGCAATAATATTTTTTTTCTTGATTTCCCCCTCTTGTGGTCTGGTGCGTCCTATAGAGCGAAAAATACGGTAATTCTAAATCAAATAACGACAATTTCCTGTCCTTTAATGATGTTCCTCATCGGCTGCCATAAGCCACTGTCACACCCTTCACTCCTGGCAGGGCCAGATCTATTCCAACACTGCAATCCAGAACATATAATCCTGCTAGAAAAAAAGCCACATGCCTTATAAAACGGAGTATGCTCCCTTTTGGGGAATGCCATATTTCAACTCCAATTCTACCGTGAATTTATTGGGATGGTTCATACGTACACGGAAACCAGTTTGGTCTTGGTTTGCAATCCTGATGCGCGAGGCATACACAAACCCACAGATTGCCGGTATAGACAAAACCTGCCACCTTCAAGATGTTGCTAAACTACATCTCCCCATCATTCCTGACCGCTTTCCATGCCGGCTGGATCTGAAGGGAGTTGCTGTCCAACACCTAGAGGAATACAGTTTCTCCACCACGGCCGTAATTCTTTTCAAGCTCTCACTGACTATACCCACACACTTAGTTAAAACTAGTTAATGGTTTCGCAAAGTGAAGCAAACGTTTTCGACAACGGTGTGTATTTTGTCTGCCTCTCAATCCCTCCACCACACAAACCAAAATGAATTCACAGAGAATGTTATCTTCTCACTAGTATTTACCACACACAAAAGGGCCTGCCGGAAAGTTCTCCTCATGAGCTGTGGTACTGGCATGTACGCTCGCCGTATGCTAACTAATGGCTTTCCATGCCTGGAGCTTTTTGTCTGAGTTTTCTATGCCTGTGAAGGTCCCACGTCTAGATGAATGCTTTCTAAATCAATGCTTTTATATAACTGCTGGCTTTTATATGACTCGCAGTGCAATCTGTTTGCCACAAATGGTTAAACAATCACCTCTTGGCACCTCTCTCTCTCTTTTTTTAAGCTGGTAAAGAAAAAAAATTAAGCCTCTGCTAGTGATTACAACATGCCGCTATGAACCCAATTAACAGTCTGCAATATGTCCTGCTTCTTTTATTCCCTTCTGACAACACCGCAGGCAGCAGAAACTCTCATAATAAATAGGTGACTACTGCTTAACACTTTGCACTGTTTCAGCACTTTCCTCTCACTCCTGGCATTAATTCTTTCTCTCCCCCGGTTATTAGCAGATAAGCCTGGCAGCAGGGGGTTGCTACCAAGTGGTATATCCAAGCAGAGACACAGGCTTTGGATTTCCCTGGGGGCATTGTAGAGCAGGTAGAACATCCTGGTTGTGAAAAAAGTGGGCATGCAAACTGCCAAATGGAAGATCATTAAAAGACATTTTGTCTGCTCCTAGGAAGCACACAATGTTGACTTCAGTCCTGACTGTGGCCCATTTTGCATCTCAAAGCACCTATGAGCCACAACCCCACTAATGGGTTGACATTGTTTAACACGCCTTGATTTACTAAGAAGCAAGATTTCCGATGAAAATGCCATGCTGGTTTCAATAAGCCGGATAGTAAATATAATCAATTCAGCTATACAGGATGTGATTAAACAAGCAATTAAAGCGAGGTGATTCCAGTCAATTCTGGATGCAATGATTAATTGCTTTTAAAATGCCCACCTGCAGGGGTTAGTAGTCATTTCAAGCAAATCCTTGACGGCTGGCCTGCTTCACAGCAAAAAAATGGCAAGCATCAGAAATACATAACAGACAGGCGTATGCAAATGGTTAAGATATAAACAGCAATTTCAAGAACAAGTATTACCACTCAAGGTTATTATTTTGAAGTCCACATACTTGAAATGAAATTAGGAAATTTATATTCAGCCACCTACATTTTATTTTCATAGGAAATTCATAGGACTTTTATGTTGTAGTTTAGCCTTGTACATTATTAACGGACCTGGTATATAATTGTTGGGTCTGACCCTTTGCTGGCTTGACATCTCAGTTGCTCTTCTAAATGACTGGGAACTATGTGGTTTCCTAAAACCTCTCCTCTGGCATCATCTTTTTTTCGAAGCATCAGATCAACTTTCAAATTAATGACTCGCTAACAAGTTCTAGTCATTCCTGCTTTTGTATGGCCTACACTGACTTCCCAAAAATTCTCTCCTCTTCAATATCTCCCTTTGCTTGTACGGCTCATGAGGCTTCAGCTGCTGAACCCAAGACAAAAAAAGCAAGAGATGGCAACTCACAAAACCTAGAACATTTGACAAGAGAGGAAGTATCTTCTCAACCCTATAAAGCAAAAGCCACCCACCATGTTATTTTAGGAGGGATGTTACCAGACCCATCTCCACACCAAACAAGCATCACGTCCCTGATTATGGCAGCTCTTGATGGTCCAGTAAAATGGAAAGCAAGTGATTTCCTGACCTTTATAGGCCACATCCAAAGGACCAGAAAAGGCACCCCAAAGTCTGTTGTATCATATCCCAAATACATAATATTCTGCATAATATTCAGATTCTCTTGACATATTATAAGACCATCTGCACGGGGAATGGAGAACATAAAGCAAAATGCCTAAGACTACATAGAAAAGGTTGAACTTTTCCTTCTTTTTCATGGTGTCCTGTACAATTATATGATTGTACTTTGCTCTGCCCCGCACAAGTCCATGGGGTGCTCCATCGCCAGTCATTTCACCTCCTGCTTCTGCATCTTGACCATCCAAAATACCTCCCAATCAATCTTTAACGACCCACTGTACTCACTACATCCCCCAGCCCCTCACCCAGAGCCCCCTTCCTGTGATGCAGGATTGCAGGAGAACTGACCTGAGATGACCATTTCTTGGTCTACAGACACACTGGGCTCTTTGCCACCCAGCAGGATCATATGAGTGAAACTTTCTGAAACCAGAGTATCATATGAGTGAAACTTTCTTAGGGAACCAGAAACTTCCTACGGGGCTTAAGTGCCCTGTCACTGCAGACAACTTGGTGCCAGGTAAGGATTACACTGAGGATCAGCTTGCCTTGAGACTCCACTGGACTTCTATGCCAGCTGCAGAAAATGAAGGAGAAGAAGATGTCTCTGGGTAAGAAATTCAGAGTGAACAGTCCAAGAAGTATCTCTGCTCAAATCTTTTGCTTCATTTTGTATAGTTCAGATTTATACTGTTGGTGTGTTTTTGTTTCCGCCATTAGAAATTCTGTTAGCAATACAATAAGTATATTGTTTTTGATAGAAGTGATAATCTGGCACCACATGGATTTCTGTATCAAATTAAATAAGTCCTGTTTTTAAAAAAGAATCAGCTTCACCTGAGTGCTTTGGAAGCAAAAGACATTCAAAGCTATCCATTATGTCTGGGGTCCCCAATACAGTGCCCATGGGAACTATGATGCCCCCTTGTCATTCACCTTATCTCTCCCAATAACTAAATAAAATCACACTTTTTTAGTTTCTTTCCATCTCTCCGCCTCCCCCCGCGGCTCCTCCAGTGGGAAACAACTTGGCCGGCTAGAAAGAGAAATGCAAGTCTCCAGTCTCCTTCTTACCTTCTTTTCTTGAAGATGGACCAGAATATCTCTGGGCCTCAAGTGAACATAGAGGCATTCTTTCAGAAAAGGGTGTGAGGTGACTGCGGGCTACTGCTTTGCCTTCCAGCCTCCCTCTAAAACTCCTACTATCTGCTTGGGAAGCTTGGGGACAGAGATAGTAGCAAGTGCCTGGGAGAACATTTTGCTTGGTGTTGTGTTGCCTGGCTAATGACTGCATTTTTGGTGGGGTTGCTTGTTTTTAGGGGAAAGATAATATTTTTTGTTTTGTGTAACTAGTCAGCCACCTACCCCGTGGCAGTCATTTTACATGGGTGCCCAAGACAGTTCTCAGATTTCAGAAGGTGCCCCTGGGCAGGAAAAGGCTGGGGGACCCCAGATTTTAAACCACATAAAGAGGTTTGTACATAACTGGCCATTTACACACAGGGAGTGAAGTTAATGGGAAAATGGGACAGAATGAAACTGGTATGGATTGGAAATTGACTGATCTTCACACTTTGCACTAACAGAAAGCACTTCTGCTTATGCAAAACTGGGCAGCCAATTTTTATTGCCACACCCTACTTCTGACAGCCACCCCCACGCCATACCCTTATACTGTTCCAGAGGGTTCCCCAACTCTCAAGAACAGTTTTTCAGCAGCGTGGACAGCTGTAGTGGGTAGGAACAATCACCAAAAATCAAGTGTCTCATCTAGCACTAGAAAAAGTCCTAGTCCAAAACCACAATGATGCAGCCCTGTATAATAAATCAATCATCCAAATTCAAGTATTTTACGTTTCACCCCACACTTTGAATTTTGTCCTCAGCCATAAAACAATGCCTGGGAATTTATCTTTTCAAAAGAAATGAAATGCAACGTACCAGTTAGGTTATTCTCCAGACATACCAGCTCACAAGGTGGTTATTAAATAGGGTGTTGCCATGTTCTTTTCTCATGACACGGCTATGCCAAACAGAAAACCCCACTCCTTTTTCTGCCGATTGACATAGTTCTAGGATCTTCATGCACTACCATCCAAACAAAATCAGTACAATCTATGGCTTTTAGCATAGGTCAAGCAGTACATACATTTATGCACTATACAGATGGCACTGTAATGGAAAATTTGCATCTTCACAAAGGAGACAAGATTAAAAGAGTGCTCTGGGAAGTCACCTTTTTCTTGTCAATTGGGGATCCAGGGATAAAGAACTATTTTGCATTGCAGAAGCATGCCTCTGTAACAGCAGGAAATCACTGGCCTAATGGCATACACTGGAATATCATTACAGTTAAGGTAGTCTAGTCAAATCTCTTTTTTTTTACAAAAGTATGGAAATGGCCATAGTATAGTTGCCCTCAGAATAAATGCCACAAATGGCAATCCAGTATAGAACGAAGATGTTTAACTGCTACTTAAAAAGTGAACCATATATACACAGCGCAGCTGACACTC